CTTGCACTAACACATAGCTTTGTTGGAAGACACGCGTTGTCTGTTTCAAACGCACTTTAGTCTCTTCTAACTCTCACGGTGGCTTATCAGGACGCTCTTAGAATGTATTTTCACCAACCGCTTTTTGGTCGTGATCTCACACTCATGGATTAGCTTTTCTGCTCATGTTTTCAAGACTACTTACTTGAGCTGTTGCTTCACACTCATGTCGTGGTTCTTTACCAAGGACTGCTTGGTGTGCTTCGAGCACCTTCTTGGTACGCTTCACGGAACTATCGGGTTATCAAGGCGAAAGAACCTTGGAGTGGGTTCGGAGAGCTTTGTTTATGACTCGCACGATGTGATTCGAAGGATCTCTGCTGAGTTTCGAGACATGTGTTGAGGGATGGCTATAATGTACTACTTCGGGTGTCTCAGGACTCTCTCACGGGTGGATTACAGCCTCTTCTGGGATGTGTTTCTTTTCAGGTCTACAGGTAGTTGTTGCAGGGCATACTTCGATGCTATGATACAAAACACTTTCTTAATGACTACCGTGGGGTCTATTGTGGACACACGCTCTGGGGTGTTCTACACATAGGTGATTGTCACACGTACATGTAAATTCAAGTACCACCACTGACGTGGTTTCTACTCGACTCTCTACGCATGTTCTCAGCACATACTCTATGATGTTGCTCACGAATCATGGGTCTATTCGAGACTCGCTTGTGGCTTTTATAGCTCTCGCGTCTGTCTTCGCAACTCTCGGTGTTAGACTCTTGGGTAGACTCTCCTCTGTTCGGATTTTCACAACCTTCTAGTTTATCATACTACTCTTGTGCGTGGTTTACACACACATCACTGTGCTCAGAATCACGCGTGACCACGCACCTGTACTCATGCTGTTTCATGCTCTCGTGTTCTTCCAGGCTCTGTACAGATTCCTTACAAACACCTTAGGCTTGTTAACAAGACTACTACAGAGCGTCGATCGCTCTCACACTCTCGTGGTGTCAGCTTCATCCAAAGATGGATTTAGGAGAACGTCAGATATTGGTGCTCTACACACAGATTTTGTGCTTATACCAATCTTGGGTGGTGTCACACGTCTTGGTGGGTTTAGACTCTTGTGTGTTCAACCAACTCTTGGTTTCAGGGACGCTCGTGTTTCAGACCTCGTTGTTTTCAGCTCTTGTGTTTACAACACTCTGTGTTTTACACTCTTGTGTGTTCAGCTCTAGTGTTTCACACTCATGTGTTTCAGACTGCTCGTGTTTCAGAACTCTTGTGTTTCACACTCTTGGGTGTCTCAACACCTTGAAAGCCTCAGACAACTTGCTGTGTTTCTGTTTCTATTGACCAAGCATGACTGCTAGAGTGTTACATAGAACACATCACTGTCCATGTTTACACTACGTGTCACATGTGGTACATTTCAGCACTCTCGTGTTTAGACTACATTTTGTTGTTCAGTCTCATCCCTCTTTACAAAGTAGTTTCAGACACTGTTGTGTTTCTGACGATGTGGTCGCTTTCAGACTGCTCGTTCGTTTCCAGAACTTCACTCTGGCTTGTCTCTCAGAACTTTGTTCTCTTTGACAGAAGCTCTTCGTCTTCCAGCACATGCATTGCTCGCTTAGTTCTGTCAGTGAGACTCTGCAAGACTTCTTGGAATTCAGTCAGACCTTGGTTTGGTGGTCTTCAGCCTTTTCGCTGTTTCAGACTCTGTGTTTCAGACTCTCGGTTCTCGCGACTCTTTTGTGGTTCCTCAGGATCTCTCTTGGTGTTTTTATGACTCTGGTCCAGTCGTAGTTAGAAGACTTTGCTGCTTCGGTATTATCAGGACTCATAGTGTTTCATAGGGACTCGTATCTCGGCTGCTATTTTCATACTCTCGATGTATGTCAGATCGTTCACTTGTCGTGTTCTCTCAGAACTTTGGAAGATGAGTGCGTAGAGCAAATCGAACGTTCGAATCCACGACTAGGAAAGTGTAAGTGTTGTATGGATAGGTCCATGTGAAACATGACAAGGAGAGATCAACATAGGGTGTGAGGCATCCACAATCGCAGGAGCATGGGCGACAGATTGGACTCTCTCGCTAGGGAGTACGTAGTGCTAGATCTGACATGTGAATGAGCTGTCAGGCAGGCTTGGTGCCAATCACATCAGACTTGTGTGTGCTGTCTTGGTGGTCAAACGGCGGAGAGCGCAGGGAAGCTCGCTGTGTAACACGGGAGCAGCCAAGTGTGATGGACACCTACAGCACAGTGAATTTTTACAGCAAGGGACCATTTCTGTAACACATGCAATCTCACCAGATATCTCCGGGACAGCGCTTAACTGTGTCTAGGCGGGTACGTGATATGGGTACCGAGGTCCGACCACACTGTTCCCCAGGCATCGACGCCCAACAAATTATCTCTCGGATAGACACCACCAATAACATAGGACGCATGCAGAGAAGAAGTGAAGGGAAAGTGGATTGGGCATAACTCTTGAAGTGTTTCTAGTGAGTCGACGTGGGAGTTTTTATTTATGTAGGTTGCTCTGTTTGGTGGTGTGAGGATAGTGCTCTGGTACAGGGAGTGGGACATTACGTGCGGGAGAAGCAGAGGACAAGAACTACAGAACATATACGCACCAATCCTTTAACTAGTGAGGAAAGGGATGTGGGTCTGAGCTAGAGAACGAAGAGTAGGCGTAGCAAGCAATGCTTGAGGAGTGGGACGATACGAACAAGACTTGGGACAATCGCACACACTTTTGGTCCACTGGCAGATACATCCATACGAGTAGACACTCACACAGGTTTTACTCTTGACGAGATAAAGCTGTATACAGGACTCTCAGATTTACTCTGAGAATTAATGTGCAAAACTAGAGAAGACTTTTACTTCTGAGAGTAACTAATAATGTTGAAACAGAACTCAGCATTTTAAGCAGAGAATCTGTGGGAAGCACAGACGCATAGATTCTACTCAAGGAAAAATAGATGATGCATATGTACTAGATACAGAAATGTTACCACTGAGAATCAATTGACAAACAGAACTACTTTACTCTGCACGATTGATGTGTAAGCGCTCACACGACACCTCAGATTCACTACTGGAGGGACATAATGATATTCAGTGTCAGTCCTAGTATTTATACTCTCGCTGGAATCAATGTTAACACACGACGCAGAATTTTGCATACCTCTGGGCAGCATTAAAGCGTAGGCACAACAAGCGCTCTAGGGATTTACTGCCTGGGAGGATACATCTGGAAACTCTCGAACATCATTCGCATAGACCTACACATCTCTGAGAATAATAGTGAAAATACTGCCACAAGATTTACTGCGTGCAGCAGATGAAATGATTGCACACTCAGATCACTCGCAGGATTACCACCTCTGGATAACTCATTCGACAACAGGACATCGTAGGCTGTAACTCTGGGAGACTATACGTAAGTGAGCATGGATCATCATATGTTAACTCACTAGATATTTAGTAGGCATGAAACAGGGACTCAGGATTTTACGGTCTGGGGACGAACTATAATTGATGCAGAAACGAATAGGACATTTTAACGACTCTGGAGATAGGAAAAGAAAGAGTGCTAAACAGTCCTCTCAAGAGTTCACATCTTGAGAGATTAGAATCGTGAAAACAACACTCAGGACTTTTACTTAATGTGAAACAGACTCAGATTTACTCTGAGAATAATGTGAAACTCAGGGCTGCTGGTGTGGGGCTGTGAGAGGAAAATGTTTTACAGTCACATAAAAATGAGACAAAGACAAAAGTGGAAGGATTCAGAAATAAAAGAAGAAGAAATGGAGTGAAAAAAAGAGGTGAATGGTGAAGGAGTGAAGCCTTTAAATGTGTAAATGTTTGATGAACAAACGTGGTGGTGTTGTTCTAGAATGAAACGTGTGTGTGTTGAGAGTGGACAGGCCACTCACTGCTGCTGTGTTGTGTTTTCTCTCCATCAGATTTCTGTGATCTCACTCTGGATCCAAACACAGCGAACACAAAACTCAAACTGTCTGACAACAACAAGAAGGTGACATTTGTGAGAGAAGATCAGTCGTATCCAGATCATCAGGACAGATTTGACGACTGGGCTCAGATTCTGTGTTCCACTGGTCTGACTGGTCTCTGTTACTGGGAGGTCCAGTGGAGTGGAAGTGTTTATATATCAGTGTGTGACAGAAGAATCAGAAGGAAAGGAGTCGGTGATGAAAGTTTGTTTGGAGACAATGATCAGTCCTGGAGTCTGTGGTGTGATGAAAGGTGGTTTCTCTGTTCATCATAATCACAAACGCACTCATCTCCCTCATCCCTGTTCATCTTCTGGGAGAGTGTCAGTGTTTGTGGACTGTCCTGGTGGATCTGTGTCCTTCTACACAGTTTCCTCTGACCAACTGACCCACCTCCACACCTTCAACACCACATCCACTCACACTCTCATCCCTGGGTTTAGGTTCTATTATTATGACTCCTCAGTGTCTCTGTGTTCTCCAGACTCACTCTCCTCAGTGTAAAACACCACAACACTTTTCATGTGTTTTTACAAAAATGAACAAAAATAAATAAATAAATACAATTAAAGCAGAAATAAATAACTTCAGTGATTTAATGATTTTCTCCTGGTTTAGTTCTGGTTTAGTCCTGGTTTAGTCCTGATTTAGTCCTGGTTCAGTCTTAGCTAATATTATTAAGTTATTATTAAGTTTAGGACACATACATTTATTATTATAAAATTATTAAGAAAAATAAAAATACACATGGAAATCTGAACATAGAATTTGTTTTTTATAGGGCAAGAACACGTTTGTTTAATGTAATTTTGGTATTCGGTGTTTTTTTTCTTTTTTTTTTTTTTTCTTTTTTTTTTTTTTGTATTGAGAAATTAAACGGTTGGTGATTTTGTCAATCTTCCAAAATCAAAATAAATTTAATAAAAAAAAAAAAAAAAAAAAAAACGTGCCCTGTGCGTGGTGACGTAGCCGTGCGTGTCCTCCATTTTGTGCCTGAGTTGTGTTCCGCGCCGCAGACTCCGGAGCCGCTGCGGATAAAGACGGACTTTGTGACGCTTTTCTCGGTAAGTTTCTGCCGTGGGGCCCGGTGCTGCCTCGGTGCTGCCGGAGGAGCCCGGGGGGTCGGTGTCTTTACATTTTTATTCCCGAAGTGAGTCACAGAAAAGGCGAGGGAAAGACGGAAGAGCGCGGGGCGTGCCAAGCTAACGGCTAAGCTAACGGCTAAGCTAATGTGGCTAAGATAACAAACAAAACAAACCAAACAAACAAACAAACAAAACTGCGGCGTTTACGACCCGAACAGCACCAATGTAACGACATGTCCGACTTTACAACACCAGAGTTTAATGTTGTGTTTAACTATTGAAGAGTTTAAAAGGCCCAGAGGCTCAGTCAGGGCGTCACTGCGGAGACTGGACCCAACTCACGACCAGAACCAGGACCAGGACCTGGACCTGGACCCGATCGCACCCGCTCTGTGTCACCTGTTTAACCTGAGGTGTCCACATGTCCCTGTGTCCCCGGGACAGTCCCAGTCCTGATCCCGTGTCCCGATAGATTTACACAAAACCACAAATTGCTCCAAAGTGGAGACGCTTGGGACATTTCTTGTATAAATTTGGACCAATCTGCTCATGTCAACAGTGAAGAGAAATACAAACCGTAACATAGAGAAAAACGACCAAAACACAAAGAAAATGTGACTGTAGAGGCTGGTGTTGGTCGTGAATGAGTCGAGTGTGGAACAGTTTTCTTTCATTACAAACTCGATTTACTATTTTATTATTACCAACGTCCACAAACCGAGTGTCCCACTGTTTGAGTTGGGTCGTTCCACGACATTTCATTAAAATTTCCATAAAATCTCACGCCTCATGTTTTATAAAAATGTTGAAAAAATGACCAGCTGGTCCTTCATGATCATGTACAAACTCTGAAGTTTGAATGATTTTTAATTTTTACTTTTGAAGTTTCAGTTCATTTAGTGAGAGGAGGATGTGTCCGTTTACAGGACAAAATCACATCATTTGTTCTTGTTTGTTTTCACTAGTCGACGTCTCCGTAAGTATCACACACACAAACACACACACAAACAGAGGCTGAACTTTTGTAGTTTTGTGCTCCTCGACTCTTTGTTCAAATAACATCGATACATGTGTTTGGTTCCATATAAAAGGTCTTTTTTTTTGGTCTTTCAAACTAAAATTATTCTAAATGTTTTCATCACTGCCCACACTAGGGCTGGGTATCATTAAGGAGTTGCCGATACGATACACACCTCGATACACAGGCCACAATACGATATATTTCAAATCGATTCGATACAGTTCAATAAAAAATAAAGGATAAATCGTGTCTGTGATACTAAAAGTCTTTGTTAAATTACTTCTTGTGCAAAGTTCATATGAAACACAAACATTTTAATCCTCAGAACAGTAAAAATGTCAAATGTGTTGCATAAACGAGTTTCCTTTCACTCCACAAGCAACAAAACTGTAAACACATGATAATGTCAAACAGCTGATGTGGCTCTAGAGTTTTTATGTTTATATGTCGTAAAGTTGAATTTATTTATGCAGGTTAGTGCAGATACTAATAATAATAATCATTTTAATATAAAAACGTTAATGATTAATCGATAATCGATCGTTAATTCTCCCGACGATCGATTAAGAAAATTTCATTGGATGCCCGTCCCTAGTGGAGATACAAACTTTGTATCGATGTTATTTGAACACAGAGTCGAGGAGAACAAGAATACAACCCCTCAGTCCTGTGTGTGTGTGTTGTGTGTGTGTGTGTGTGTGTGTGTGTGTGTGATACTTACGGAGACGTCGACCAGTGAAAACAAACAAGAACAAAAAATTATTAACATTTTTTGAGATGGAAGTACGTGGGCCGTTTGGTGAAATGGTGTGGAATGACCCGTTTGTAAAATCTGGTCACCCTAATGGAACCAGAACCTGGTCCGGTTCTCCACACACACACACACACACTCGGGAAACTCTTCTGTGACGTGTTTTGGCAGTCTCAGGTGTGCACAGGGGTTGGATGGAGGTGGAGTTGGAGGAGGTGGATTGGCGGATAGGGTCAGCGTGGTCTTGGGCTGAGGCTGTGGAGATGTGGAGACGTGGAGGACGCTCTGTTTCCTTCGGGAGCAGAACCTGTTGAAGAGGAGCTGGTCCGTAGTCCAGCGAGGTTCACTTGGTGCAGAAAGAAGAAAAGTGTGTGTTTGGTGCAGATGTTCCAGTCAGCGGGAGCGGGTGGAGGACGCTCTCGGAAGAAGGATCAGAACTCAAACACTTAAACGGACTCCAGGCCACTCCAGACAAGTAGAAACAGTAGAAAAAAATCACATGAGGAAAAATGTAGTTAAAAGGATTTTATCTGAATGGCCAAAGCCGACATGTTTGGACCTGAACTGGTCTTCATCAGGACTGAATTCAAACTGAATTTAGTTGATGTATTTTCTTTATTAGATTATTATTATTATTATATATAGAGCCCGACCGATACAGATTTTTGTTGTGGCCGATATGAAACCGATATAATGGGAGTTGGAGCTGCCGATATATTTAGTGATGTAAAAATTCACTGTAAATGTTGAATTGTTTAAAAAAACTTGGGTTTGGCTCTGGTGGATTTTAAATTGGGTTTATTTAGGAAACATTTATTGTTCTTCTGACTCTTTACGTCATATTTACAGACAGTTGGTCGGACTAATGGTATTTTTGCATCACGTTCTAGTGACGGGGATTCCAGTTTTTGTTTTTTTTTTTTTTTGAGAACCAGCTCTTTTGGCTCGGCTCACTAAAGCAGCTGGCTCTTTCGGCTCCCAAGCGACTCTTGAGATTGTTTTGTTGCAAGCAGGACTAAACCAGAACTGAACCAGGACTGAAAAAGGACTAAACCAGGACTAAAACAGATTTAAACCACGTGTAAAACAGGACTAAACCAGAACTGAACCAGGACTGAGTGTCGGGACTCGGTCTCTGTCTCTCTCTCTCGAGCCCAAGTTTAGTCCTGGTTTATTCATTTTATGCTGAGCTGCAGCCAAATATGCACTTTTTTTTTTTATCCTGTGCACTCACAGATTTCTGAAAGTTTTGTTTTCAGCCGCTGCTGCTGTCAAACTACGGCTCTACAAGCGGCTTGAAGAGAAAAAGTGAGAAAAAAGAGAAAACACGGCTCCCAATAAGAAGCAGGCTCCTGTTGTTCGCTTCAAAGAGCCGGATCTAAGAGCCGCTTCGATCGCGACCGACCCATAACTCCTAGAGAGTAAAGAAACTACCCGTATTAGCCTTTAATAATATCGATAATCCGATAATATTGGCCAACCGATATATCAGCTGGGCTCTAATTATTATTATATTTATATAATTTTTTGCCTGTGCCGTGTCCTGTTCCTGTGCACCTGTTTTGTTTGGCTCCAGTCGACTCCAGTCTGCTGTTGGTTGATGTGTTCTTGAAGGCCACGCCCATGTTCTTTTTGACTTAAACCCTGATGAAGACCAGTTCAGGTCCAAACACGTCGGCTTTGGCCATTCAAATAAAATCCTTTTAACTATATTTTTCCTCCTGCGATTTTTTTTAAATTTTTTACTGTTTCTACATTTTTTGGAGAGCCTGGAATCCGTTGTGTTTGAGGTTCATTTGGTCTCCTGATAATTTCTGTGGTTCGGTTCTTTTTTTTCAGATCCAGTTTGTTTTGGTCCTCACGGTTTGTCCTCTTCGTCTGGTGATGTTTCTGTGTCGTGTCGCTCAGTTGAACAGTTTTTGTCTGCGTCTTCTTCTCGGCGGAGGCAGGACGACAGCGCCACCTGCAGACGGACTTCCTCACGACACAATCCCAGGAGCGTGAGAGAGAGAGAAAAAAAAAAAACACATTCGGGATCAAAATCAAAATGGAAACGCGCTCACGGGACGGTAAACGAGACGAGGAGCTTTTTTTCCTCTCACGCTCCTGGGATTGTGTCGTGAGGAAGTGCGTCTGCAGGTGGCGCTGTCGTCCTCAGTCCACCGAGAAGAAGACACAGACAAAAACTGTTCAACTGAGCGACACGACACTGAAACATCACCAGACAAAGACGAAGAGGACAAACTGTCAAGACCAAAACCAACTTTGAGGCTGAAAAAAAGAACCGAAGAACAGAAGCTGGTCCGTGTGGTCCTGGAGAAGGTCCTGGAGAAGGTCCTGGAGAAGGTCCTGGATGCTTCAGTGTTGTTTGACTTCACGTTGTGTTCATGTGGCTCAGTGTTTGTTGTGTTTCTGTGAGGGAGAAGCTCAGGAGGTTGTTGGGAGCTGGTTTGTGTGGTTTCTCTGATCTTGAAGTGTAATGTTCTGATAATGTGCTGGAAGATCTGAGTTTGAGGGTTTTCTTCGGATAAGTCTAATATTTTCATTCACGTCGGCTGCTTGTTGTCACATGAAGCTCGTGGTTCTAAGTTCTCTGAGTCATAATTTACGTTTTTACGCTGAGAACGATGAAGCTTTGTGCTGTTTCTTTCTCCTGTGATTGTCTTCTTCTCTGCTCTTCTGCTCCAGGTGACTGCTCCTCCTCTAGTCTCACCTGAGGTTCTGGTCCATGTTCCTCGTGTGTTCCTCAGCGTGTTCCTCCGAGTTGTGTGTCGAGTTAAAGTTTTAGACTGAGAGTTTTACGGCTCTGTGTTTTCTCCGCACTTTTTGTTCTGGTTAAAGCAGATATTAATTTTTGAATGTCTTACATGTTTGTGATTTCTGATTGGTTCCTCTCTCGTGGGCAAAGCATTGTGGGAGATGGAGTCTTTTCCGTGTTTAGCAGAGCTCCAGTTTGCTTGGTTTTGTTAAAGGAGAAATGTTTTAAAAGTTTTAAAAGTGTGTAGCTGTTTAAACGCTGCTTTGGTGTTAAAAAAAACCTTCTGCTGTGGTTTCACTTTCTGCTTGGGATTGGCCTGGCTTGGTCCCAGTTTGATCCTGGTTTGATCCAGGTTTGGGCTCAGTTTGATCCCGGTTTAATCCCGGTTTGGGCTCAGTTTGGTCCCAGTTTAATTCCGGTTTGGGCTCAGTTTGGTCCCGGTTTGGGCT